CAGTTCAAGACATCATGTTCACTGGTTAGCTAGTAAATCCGATAGTGTCTCACAAGGGAAGGTTCAAAGCCAAAAGCTACCTATCCTTTGCAGAATATTTTCAATTTCTGTACTCTCTGTATTTAGATTATGTTGTTGCATTTTCTCTCCGTCAAATTCCTTTAATGTGGGGGATTGTTGGAAAAATTTGTTTATTAGGCTTATTTTGAGCCAACTTTGAGCCCAAAATAGAGTGGGCCCTGAACATCTTTTGAGGTTGGTCCGAAGAGGTGACGTGTTCCTTGCCGCGTGGCAAGTCACACGGTGAAGACGGTACGTCAAAACCATTTATGAGTGAATGGGAAGTTAACGTCGTTTTCGGATCTAACATTAATTTTTTAGATAAAATTCATTTGAATTTTTTCAATAAAAATTATTGTGGGAATTTAATTTAATTCTAAATTCAAATTTTGGATTCTTGAGTGGTTTTCTAAAATTTGTAATTGTGAGAATTTAATTTAATTCTAAATTCAAATTGTGATTTCTTAAAAAATGATTAAACTATTTAAAATAGTTTAATAATTGTTTTCCATTAGTTATATATATATATATATATATATATATATTTCTAATAGATATTAAATAAAGTTCCAAAACTGTTCATGTGTTGCGTTTGTCCAACGGACACTTTTTTGAAATATTGGAACAACCATCAGATTTATTTGAACATTACGTATGCACCTGTTCTTTAAAATAATGCATCCGTTCATTTAAATTTGTTGCACCTGTTCAGGGGCTTTGTTTGCCTATATATACAAATCTTTTTCAGCAGTCCAGGGATCCGAAAAAAAATCAGTCTGTATATCTGATTTTGCAGTCCGAAAAATAGTTTGATATTTTGTCTTATTGTTGTCCAATTTTTCTCTAGTGCATTTATTCTTCATATCTAGTTTTAGAATAAATTAAAGAGAGTATAGATCACAGGTTTGGTTCGCCGAACAAATTTATTTGAAGTACTTCTATTAATTTGTGAAGATCATTGTATCCTGGGAGATAGACGCCACTCAACCGTAAGCACCGTAGCAGGGCGAATCTGTCTTAAGGACAGAATGTCACACACTCGACTTGGTCTTAATTTTTATTCGGTTCGATAAATAAATCTGGTATGTTATTTATTTATTTTGTTTGAATTTATTTCAAGTTTTTTTTTTATATACACAGAAGATTGTTTCCTACATAAACATCACAAAAAACGTATTTATTTTCAATTCACATAACAACATAAATAAACAAAACAGAGCTTCATTCTCATTTCACAAAACAACATAACATTACAAATCTAAGTTTCACCCCCATTACAATGCGCTACTTCACCTCCATTACAAAACATAGCTTCAGTCCCTTTCATATCCCCAAAACCCCATACATATGCTCAATTCACATCAATTTCTAAATCCATTTCTCATTTTCAGTGTCACTGGTCAGCACCACTAATGATCCACCAACAAAACAACACCCAAGAAATCACAAGACATGCTAGCAACCTTCTTTCTCTTGGTCTCTGAATTTGGAGTTGTTCTTGAAGCACAATTGTTCAAATTAGCAATCCTGGTGTCAGATCTCTAGCTCGAGTGCACATGGGGGGAATCAACCCTGATAGAGAAGCCACATGCACCAATCCTCCAATATTGGCCTTCATAGACTCCCAAATAGTTACTCTCATCTGGAGCACCTTTCCTGCAGCAGTTTGAAAAGGGTACACGGCTTCCCCCAGGCTACTTACCTCCGAGATTAGTCGAGGTGCGTCACTCCGAAGGGGTGCTGGCCCGGACACTCGGTCATCAAAAAAAAAAAAATAGACTCCCAAATAGTTCTGCTAGTTCGCATGAAAACATGGCTACATATAATTGGGCATAATACAAAAAAATTATATTCAATTTGGATATTAAATAAGTAATAATTAGAATGATTGCAACCTAAAGCAAAGATTAGAGCCTAGAGAAAGAAGGGTTCATACATAGGGCTTCAATTTGGATATTCAATTTGGTTTTTTACTCTCAAAAAGTTTAACTCTTAACACCTCAGGTTGTCAATAGGGCTCCAAATGATTTGTAAAATCATTTTTATTACTACATGATGTATATATTGACATATAATTTCAATTAATTCAGGATTTCAAGTTTTGTATACTTACGAAATATATACACAAATTTTAATAAAAAAAACAGACTAACAGCATACCAAATTCTTGCCAAGCTTCACATTTTTCCTTTTGATCTTAACAGATTTTCCATTTACAAGCAAATGGGGTACCAAATTTCAATAAATTCAGGATTAAACAGGTTCAATGGAGAGAGATGATAGGGTTTCGAAGATGCATTCCTTTCAATCTCAGAAAAAATCAAGAAAAAAAATCCAGCTTAAGAATAGAAGAAAGAAAAAAATAATATGATTATGGCATCAATAGGAATAAAAAATTATCTGTACATTATCTTTCCAAATTAATGTGTAAAAAAATTATTTTAATGTTTTCTTGAGTTTCCAAATTATTATTATTAATTTCTTCAAGCTTTCTACAACTCAAACATGGCAGCCACTTTAATCTAAAATTACTATTTTAATTTCTGCAACTCAAACAGTGTAATTCAGAAAATAATCTAAAATCCATTCAATTTCTGCAACTCAAACATGGCAGCCACCCATTATGGACAGAGCAATTGAAGAGCAAATGACACAAGGGGAAACAAAATACCTATGGACAGCAAAATTTCTGCAACTCAAACAGAGAAGACTCCTCTTCTTCCACAATGGACGACAGAGCAAGGCTCCTTCTCTTCCACTCAGATCAAACAGCGGCGGGACCTTTGTGGCACACACAATAGCAGCTTGCGGCACCCACGACAGCAACAGGATCCAGATCACTCCTCTCACTGTTCCGCTAGGTTACGAATGAGACGGTGCTTCTCTCTCTTTGATCTTTGTTCTTGTCTTTTTTTTTTTTTTTTTTTAGCTCTTGTTTTTCAAATGGAATGTCTGGGTGTGGGACATAATTTCGGAAAATGTCTCGTAGCTCAAATTTTGTGGCTCAAAAGTGGCTCAAATGGCCAAAACGAGTCGTTTTGGCCATTTTTATGTTGTTCTGTACTCAAAACGACGTCGTTTTGGCCATTTGAGCCACTTTTGAGCCACAAAATTTGAGTTACGTAGCATTGTCACATAATTTCAGCACACGCCACAGTGGATAGAAAACCAAATTCGAGCCACTCTCGAGGTACATTCTTTCAAGCTATGTAACAGAGTTGATAGTGTTAATAGTCTTATTTTATAATTATTTTTATATGTTCTAGGGATTTTTAAGATTAGGGTTATTTTGGTAATTTAGAGAATTTCTAAATATGAATTGTGAAGGTAGCCCATGAGTCGTCTTATGGGTCAAAGTTATTTAATTAATTTTTTATTTAGTCTTAAATTGGTTTTGAAAGTCAAAGTTCATTAATTTCCTATTTTGCAATCTTAGTTGGTTAAGGAAGTCTGTAGAGTCTATATAAAGTCATGTAATTCTTTTAATTCAATAGAGCTGAATTTATTGAATTTTCAAAATTTAGAAACTTTCTTATAAATTGTGTGATATAATCAAACCCTAATTGTGATGCCTAAGACCGCTAGGAGTGATTCCTAAAACCTATCTTCTTCTTCCTCTCTTTTCTTTCTTTCTTAAATTTGAACACTTTAACAGCCAAAACACTGTTCATGATTAATGTTTAAAGACCCTAAACAGTGTCAAAAACGCATACTTTCGTGCTTAAACTCTTACACATTTATTACCTAGAGAAACCCTACTTATCCCCTGTACTCTTATTGCAATTTCAGCCGTAAAACCCATTTAAAATCAGCCCCAAAAGCATATTGTTGGGGCTGTCCCTACTTGTGCAATCAACAAAAAGCGTGGGTAGAAGGAGAGGAATGTGGGTTTGTGGTTGAGTTTTCTGCCTTAGTTGAAGAAAAATGTGATGAATCACCATTAGTTTGAGAAAGGGATTTCAAGAGAGAAATTATGGTTTTTATAGGAAATGAAAAACAAAAATGCTAGAGGCCCTAAAAATTTTACTAAAAGTTTTACCAAATGTCTCACATGGGTGTGAGATACACATGGGACCCACATTGTGTGAGTCCTACACCCATGTGAGACATTTGGTAAAATTTTTGGTAGAATATTTGGAATCTCTAACATTACTCAATGAAAAATTAGAATTCTGCAAACGTGGAAGTGTGAGGTAGGCCTTCCCTTTGTTGTGTGATGGATAAAAACAATGGAGTAGAAAGGACGGAAGGTAGGGCTGGGTCAAGCTCTCTCGAATTGTGCAGCCATGTGAGGACTTTGGCATTCTCCCTATCCCATGTGTGAAGAGCCAACTGACAGCCCATGACTTTAGAATTAGTGGGTCTACGTGTGGAGCCGTTGATGTAATGGCTTGCAACTTATGATGAAATAAGCAAAGGCATACTGAACTTGTTTTTGGTTGAGCAAAAGAAAGTCTGCAACTTATTTATTTATTATTATTGTTTTTTTGTGACAAATCTGCTAGTTTTTTTTTTTTTTAAGTCAATCACACTTAAATTCACACTAATAGTGAAGCAAGGACACACAAACCAATAAAGAACCAAAGGCTGCAACAATTGAGAGATAGATAGAGAAAAGAAACCTGGAAAACCTGATACTACCAGTCCCGATAGAAGCAAGGACCCACTGAAGTTTACCACAAGCCAGGTGGAGAACATAACACCCAGATCTTCAAACAACCACAAACTAAAGAAGAGGATTACAACCAGAAATGACTGAGTAGAGGAGGAGCAGCAATCGACAGAAGATAAGAGAAGAGGAGCCACAACAGATGGAAGAAAGAGGGCTACGACCGACTGGACTACAATCGACTAAACCCTAATTGCGGTAAACAACAAGAAATAGAGAAGAAGGGCTTGCAATCAACGAAATCCTAACAATGGCAAATGATTATAAGAGAAATAAGGGGCTGTGACCAATAGAACCCTATTCGACAACGTTTGGGAAGCAACTTTTCTCGCTAAAATAGCACTAAAAGATAAAATAAGTTAAAATAGTTAATAAGATAAAATGTCACATTAAATCCATACTCATTTTACATTTTTTCTCATAAATATCACATCTAATTACAAAAAAATCTAACTATCTTTCTAAACACAAAAATTTTAACCTCTTAAAATAACAAAAACTAAAATAGCCTACTAAAATAATAATTTTTCATACACCCACAATGAATGACGGTAGCGGCTAGGGTTGTAAGTGTTTTGATACCATATTACAAAAGGAAAATGATGGCCTTGCTTGGTTTAACTCTCAAAGTAAAACTTTAAAAAAAAAAAAATTCAAAATTTTGTTTGGTTAGAAATTTTTGGAAAAAAAATTTCAGAATCACTTTCTCTCTCCTAAACATCAATCAATCACTTTTTCTCTCTCCTCTCTCTTTCTCTATCACTTTTTCTGTCACGCACATCTATTCAATTATAACAAAATATCAAATCATCACAAACTCCCATACTCTAAAACTATTTCTAAAATATACAACCAAACAAAGCAAAAAAAAAAAAATTTAAACTCTTTCATCAAAAAAAATTTTAAAAATTTATCGCTCAAAACCAAACCAAACACACCCGATATTTTGCATTACCTTAACTAGCATATCACCCGTGCTATTCACGGGATAAAATAATATATTTATTTAATAAAAATATGATAATTTTATTTAATTTTTTTATGTTATGTAAAAAAAAAAAGTTAAATGGAAGTTGGCCAATAAGGATTTTCTTAATTGTTTAAAATTAAGAAAATCAAAAAAATTAGTATGAGATATTGAGCATAAAACTTTTCACTAAAAATCTCATTTTACTTATATAAATGGTAGTATATGATTCACTTTATGTAAGTGAAACAATTCATTTTTTCCTTCTTTTCTTGATGTGGGATTATAAAATAAAAGTTAAATGAAAATTAAGGCAATGTGAATTTTCTTAATTGTTTAAAAGTTAATAATTGTTTGGGTGAGAAGTTTATTTCGAATCAAGCAATCTTAGCCGTTTAAGTCAATCTTTAATTTATTTCGAATCAAACGAATTTAGCCAATATATTTTGATAAAACCGTTAAAATCGCAGTTAAACTAGCAAATCAACCAAACTGAAAAAGGTTCACCCTATCGGCTAGATCAAAGGACCAACCAACTTATACAAAAATTAATTAATCAAAACTTTTAAATTTTTCCTCTTTTTCCTGATATGAGATTGTAAAATAAAAGTTAACAGTTGTTGGGACAGGAAGTTCATTTCTAATCAAGCAATCGCAGTCGTTCAATTTTTAATAAGGTCAATCTTAGTTTATTTCAAATCAAACAAATCTAAATGATATATTTTGATAAAATAGCTAAAATCGTGGTTAAAACAGTGAATTAGTCAAACAAAAAACTATTCAGTAGAATCGGCTAAGTCAAAAGACTACCAATTTACAACAAAATTAATTAATTAAAATCATTAAATTTTATTTTAAAATTTAAACCATCTTGAATTGAAACATTCACAATACTATAATATTAAATAAAAGTATAAAATTCACTTCATATAAGTGAAACAACTCACTTTTGATTTATTTTCTCGATATGGGATTATAATTATTTTAAAGTCAAATATTATGAGATTTCAAAATCTCATACAAAATTATTTTTAAAATCTTATGTAGAGTTGTACAATAAAAGTTAAATGAAAGCTAACAAATAGAAATTTTTTTAATTGTTTAAAGTTAAGAAAATCAAAAAAGAAAAAGTATTGATTATAGGGCTTCTCACTAAAAATCTTCTTTTACTTATATAAATGGGAGTATAAGATTTACTTTATATAAGTGAAACAATTCATTTTTTTCCTTCTTTTTTCGATGTGAGATTGTAAAATAAAAGTTAAATGAATATGCACATTGGATTGCAAATTGAAACTGTGTTTACAAAAACCTTCACATAACACGGGTGATATGCTAGAAGTATTGTACATATGTTCTTAAACACACAAACAAATGTATGGATTATAGGGTTTCTCACTAAAAATCTTTTTTTACCTATATAAATGGGAGTATAAGATTCGTTTTATATAAGTGAAACAATTCACTTTTTCCTTCTTTTTCCAATGTAGGATTTTAAAATAAAAGTTAAATAAAAACTAACTAATGGAGATTTTCTTAATTATTTAAAATTAAGAAATTTCAATAATTTATATAAATTGGAGCATAAAATTCACTTTACGTAAATGAAACAATTCACCCTTTTTTTTCGATTTGAGATTGTAAAATAAAAGATAAATGGAAGCTAGCCAATGGGGTTTTTCTTAATTGTTCAAAATTAAAAAAAAATCAATAATTTTAGAATGAGGATGTGGACGTTCTAGAATGCTTCTCCCCTTAAAACTCCTTTATAAGATTCATTTTATATAAGTGAAACAACTCACTTTTTCTTTCTTTTTTCGATGTGGGATTGAAATAGAATTTTTTTTAATTGTTTAAAATTTTAAAAATTCAATAATTTTAGAATGAGGATTTGGACCTTCTAGAAAACTTATCCCTTAAAACTTCCTTTATAAGATTCATTTTATATAAGTGAAACTACTCACTTTTTTCTTTCTTTTCCCGATGTGGGATTGTAACAATTTACATAAGTGAAACAACTCACTTTTTCTTTCTTTTCCCGATGTGATATTATAATTATTTTAAAGTTAAATATTATGAAAGTTTCAAAATCTCATACAAAATTATTTTTAAAATCAAAACTATGTGGGATTGTAAAATAAAAGTTAAATAGAAGCTAACCAACGGGAATTAGAGAGGCATAGTTTAGGTTAGTGAATTTTTCATACACGATCATTTTGTAAACTCATATGCATATTAAAAAAAAATTAAATTCATTCTAAAGTCATGTTCATGTGATTTCAATGTATTTATCTTTAATAAAAATATATGATCTATTTATGAAATTTGTAACGCCCTCAAAATAATAACATTAAACCCATCAAATAAGACATTCGTTGACATATGAAATAACCACATTCAGAGTTTCATTACAAAATTATTACATGTTAACAACAAAACCAAAATGCCCTACAGGCTTACAGCTTTCCAAGTTAACACTTGGTTACAACAAAAGAGTACTAACTCGTTTACACGTTCATGTGATTTCAATGTATTTATCTTTAACAAAAATATATGATCTATTTATGAAATTATATATATTTATTTATTTTTAGAAATTAAATATAATAAAACTAAGTGATTATAAATAAATCGAACTTTGATTTATTCAGAATGTTACTAATAAAAACTAAAAATAAATCAAAGTCAATCAACTGACCTCTTCTCCTATCTGACATGTGCCTTGTTACATTGTCATCCATGTGGTCACAATCGTGGAATTAACTTGCATCATTGCATTTGGAGCAAAATATTGTTTTAAAAACATAATTAATTGTAGTCATGCAAGTAAGATGGACCCAAATTCAATATAATTTAAGAAGATGGGTGACGACCTCCAAATTTTGAAACCTTTTTATTATAATAATAATAACATTAATTATTAAAAAAATTCTAAATTATAAGTTGACTACCTATTAGAGAGGCATATTTTCACCGTATAGTTTGGTGAACCATCTTAAACTATGATTAAAGCTTCCAACCTAAACTATTTCATCATAAACAATTCACTTTTTCCTTCTTTTCTTGATATGGAATTATCAAATAAAAGTTAGCCAATGCAAATTTTCTTAATTGTTTAAAATTAAAAAAGTCAAGAAAATTAGTATAAAATATTTAAACTCTCATAAGGCTCCTCACTAAATGGGATGGGAATATAAGATTCTCTTTATATGAGTAAAACAACTCTTTTTTTTTTTTCTTTTTCTCCCGATGTGGGATTATCAAAATTAAACAACTCATTTAAAATTAAGAAAATCAAAAAAATTATAATGAGGATTTGGAGTTCCTAGAAGGTTTCTTACTAAAAAGTTCATTTTCCTTATATATATAGATAAGAATATTACAAGCACTATATATATATATATATATATATATGTAACAAAAGCCGAATCCTAATTAGAAAATTATGACTAAACAAACCCTACTCACCCTTATACAAGACATCACTGCCTTGCATATGACACAAGGGAAGTACGCATAAATTGAGAATTAAAATCCTAATTTTGGTTTGGTAAGCAGAACTTACCTCATTTTTTTCTTCATTTTTTAAATAACTTCTATATAAAGATGGAAAGCACAAAAGCTATCCACCACGACAAAAATGTTGTAGCATAGAAATAGATGATCATTCTTTTAATATGTGGAAAATTCTTCCTCACTAAAAACAACAGGAACAATAAGTTGATTACATTCCAAAATTTAACCATTCCAGGATTTTTCAACACACAGTCACTTCCTAAGTAGCTCGGATACGACACGTGGTACGACACTAGCACACCGACCCCTTAAAATTTTGAAAAATATGTAGGACACGACATGTGGGGCACACCTGCAAAATATATAATTTTATATATTTATTATATATCATATATAAGGATAAAATAACTATTATATGTCATGTATATGAATATTTATAATTTTTAGAGTCTAAAGGAGAAGAATAGACATAATATTTATATTACTTTTGTATAGTGTTCGACAAGTGTTGTTTCATGTAGTGTCGTGTCAGTATTGGACACGACACGTTACCTTCTTAAAAGTGTCAAAGCTTCTTAGGTCACTTCCTAATTGGAAACAAGTGTATAAATAGAACTTCCTAACTTGAGATTAAGGTTGCTCAAACTTTGAGAAGATGGTTCCCAAGCAAGAAGAGATGATTTTCAAAGGTCCAACTATGGTGTTCTCAATGAACATGGTGGCTCGAGCAGACTGTGGATTTGAAACACTAAGTCCTCAACTTTTGAAACACAATTTGCCTGACATCGTTTAATTTAGTTGAATCT